GGTGAAGTGAATGTGTCCTTCCTTTCTCTAGCTGTCGGGGCATTCTTTGACCGTAGTCCATTTTGTACTGTCCTTTGGTTGCAATGTAGCATTTTACTACACTTCTCAGGCTTCCATGGGGTAATTCGGTCCAGCCACAAGACTTCAATCTAGGGATGTGTGATTGTTTGCTTTTCTGGGGAGGAAAGCCCCTTGTGGTTCTCTGAAGCTACTATCTCAGATAGTGTGCCATACTACTGGGGCCCCATTAGTCATGGAGTTATATTGCCTACCTATGGCATCAGAATCCATTCCCCACACAGGCATAAAGGGAGCATTGGCATTTATTTACAGTATAAAGGTATTCATTTATACCTCTATTGAGAAAAGCACCTAGAAAGTCAGTGAAACCAAAGAAACAACTGCCTAGCTTCAAACTAGACTTGCAATCTTGAGAACCACCTAAAGAACTCAAACTCAAACATGACGATCGAAATTTTAATGAAACTAGTGCAAGCTCTTGCTCAACATCCACCCCCTCCCCCTTCCCCACTCATTTAGGGGGAGGAGGAAGGCAGCCTGCAGTCAGCCGGGTGCTCCACCCTCAGTTTTATTCTGATGGTAGTGTGTACTGGGTTGTCTTTGTTGCTTTCACCCTGATGATTTGCTTTCAGCCATTGTTTTCTGCCTTTGTGGCTGTTCGTATACACACTGGTGCAGCATGAGCCAAGAGTTTAGAACACTTGGAGCTAAATGTGCTTAGGATTCTCTTCTCTGTGTGCTAACTAGTGCTGCCCTTGCGCTGCATTCAGGCCCTCCCCCCCTGGAAACTCTTGTGGGTTTTGTAGTACTATGGATATTCACTACCCCATCCTCCCCTGAACCTGCTCTCACTTCATGCGAGTTTGAGGTACATCACCAGTACCATGTGCTGATGATCAGTCATTCTGCCTCTGCCTTGCTGCCTGTTGGGTTGGGGACACCTTCGACCCATAGTCATATGGGGTTTGCTCCCATCATGTTGCTTTCTTATTCTGACCCAATGAGGTTAGAACTTTTTAGGCAGTGACCATTCTGTATGTTAGGTTTGCTAGGTTGCAGCAGTCTGGGTTATGTGCCCATTTGGATGCTCAGGAGCTGCCCTGGTTGACATATAGGGACCTGAAATTCGAGATGTTGGTTAATTTGACCTTGGCTCCATCTGCACCTCCCCTCCACTTGGGCTGGACGGTACAATGATGGTCTCATTTCATGCAGGTCGGCTTTCAATCCCCAACCGTCGAAGTGGTTGAGCACCATTCCTTTTCCCTGTCCCATCCCAAATTCTTATCCTGATCCCTTCCAAGTGCCTATTTACAGTAGTCATAATGGCTTGGTGCTTTTCCTTGATAATTCACCCTCTGATCCTCCCCTCCTGCTGCCAGCCCCAAAGTGTTTGAGGGTTTTGGGTTTGGGGCAGGGCTTAGCTCAGGATGTGGCTTGGTTTTCTTCAGGTTGCCTTTTGTGAATCGGATGCGAAGGGAATTGAGCCTACCAGTCCCTCCGAGGCTCCTGATTCATTATTTCAGGCAGACCCTTCCTTCTTTGAAACCGCTCCCTTAGACTGCTTCTGCTTGTCGGCTCATTCAGGACCTGTGTGTTCAGGGTGGTTGTTCTCGCTCTTTGAGGCAGTCTGGTAGGGCTGGGGTGGCACCTGTTGTTGGTTGGGGTAGACCTTCTGTGGAGCCAGAAGCTGGGTTGCATGCGCTTCCCTCGGCCGGTCATTCTTCATCTGGCCAGCACCATGCTCGCTCTATTTGGAAGGCGGCCTCTCACGGTTCATGCCAGCCCTTTTGCGGTTTGCCCCATTGATAGGCAGTAAGGGGGGGTGGGTACAGCTTGCTTAGTTTGCCAGTACCTAGTCCTACAATTCAAGGGCTTTTCAGGTAATTTTCTTTAGTCTGCGGTAGAGTTCGTCAGTCTGTCCTCCCTCTGGGGGTTTGGGTTTTTCCAGGAAAGCTTCCTCTCCTCGCCTGTCAGATCATCTTGGAGTGAGCGACTTTGGATGTAATAAATCCACCCTTAGGATTTAGGTGATCCAAGCGATTCCTGTGGGGGGGGGGGGGGGGTCCCACGTCATCATAGATAGTTTTTCTCTCTCACATCCCTTTTCCATGGAGTTGTCCATCCAAGACGTTTTCTTGTTTTGTTTGCAAGGCATTTAGTTGCTCCAAGGTGGACCTCTTGAGATTGGCATGGAACCGGCTTTGCCTTTTCCTGCAGATTGGCCTGGTGGCACACCATGCTGGTTCGTTCTTCTCTACCTTTCTAAGCCTCTGTTATTCTGTCAAGAGTTCCACCATTTATGTGGTGCACTGGTGGTTGTTTTAAAAATAATTTGTTTTGTCGGAACAGGCAGTCAGTGTATATTTACATGTTAGGTTTATATCGAGGTCTTCTCCCGCCACTCCCTCCCAGGTCGAACTACTAACCCTTTCCAAGATGCAACTCCACAACATGCTAACTCCTGGTTACCTATTTATCGTTGGGTAAAACAGTGGCATTAGCTGATAGGAAATGAGCCCAACCATTTCTGTTTTGCCCAGGATTAAAACCCAGAATTCCTGATTGCGAGTAGAGAACAAAATCGACTGTACTGTACTCCCACCTGAATCTTCTTCGTGGCAACAGTATGAAGTGTCCTGGTGCTCCTTTCACCTTTTCATCCTTTTCCTGGCATTCGGCACAGATACTCCCTTGGTGCTGTTTCACATAAGGAAATGAAGATTACCTTTACATAAGGTATTGAAACTAGGTGGAGGGAACAGGAGGCCAGACACAGGATACCAAATGGGAGATGAAGTCCTCCACGAAACAGAGAAAGATCTAGGAGTCAAGATCACACTGAACCTGTCTCCTGAAGCCCACATCAAAAGAATATCATTTGGGGCATTTGTGAGGCAAGGTAACATCTGAACCATCTTTAGAAATTCGTGTACAGAATCCTTTAGAACCTTGTATACCACATATGTAAGACCAGTTCTGGAGTATGAGGCTCCAGCATGGAGTCCATACCTTGTCAAGCATACAACAAAGCTGGAAAAGATTCAAAGGTATGCCATTAGACTAATCTCAGAACTAAGAGGTATGAATTACGAGGAAAGGCTGCAAGAACCAATAAAACTGCCCCTCGCCTCACTGGAAGACACGAGTTCGGGAAGACATGTTCACCACATACAAAATTCTCTGGAATTGACAGGGAAGATAAGGACAGATTATTTAGCATGGGTGGTACATGCACAAGGACATGGGTAGAAACTGGGTACCCAAATGAGCTATAGACACATTAAAAAGAACTTTTCCAGTGTCAGAGTAGGTAATAAATGGAATGCATTAGGAAGCGATGTAGTGGAAGCTGACTCCATACAGTTTCAAATGTAGATATGATAGAGCTCAATAAGCTCAGGAACCTCTACACCAGTAAACTGACACTTGAAAGGTGGGACCAAAGAACCGAAGCTCAACCCTCGCAAGCACAATTAGGTGAGTATATCTCCAGTTCTCTCTCATACAGGTGGCTCCTGCTTCCCCTAATCAATTTTGGTCTGGATCAAGATTTTTATTTTCCATAGTTGGTTATCAGGTGAGGGACCTTCATGCTATCTTCCAAAGGCTTGAGTTCTGCTCTTTCAGCCCTTGTCCTCGATTCTGTCCTTGGCCTTCTCCTTATTTTCTGGCAGAGGCAGACACATTTGGCTTCCACAATACAGGGGTTTCTGTGTGGTTTGGTTTATCCAGCTGGTGGTTGTGTCTTCTGATATGTCTTGTTGTGGCAGTCCATTGCAAGCCACCCCCCCCCCCTCCCCACTACCAGATACATTGGTTCGTGGTTCATCAGCTCCAGACTGACCATGCTAGTTGCTGGGATGCCAGCAGAGCTGGCAGCTCTGCACATGCATGCTCTGGGGTTTCATGCCCAGGTTCAAATGAACCATTTAATTTTGATTGATTATGCAGATGAGTCACAATAACATGGCTGAAAAATGTTGACCAAACCACACACTAGTAAGTGAAAAAGACGACAACGTTTCGGTCCGTCTGGACCATTATCAAGTCGATTGTGATAATTATCACAATTGACTTTCACTTTCTCTTCACTTTCTAGTGTGTGGTTTGGTCAACATTAATTGATTATTTTGTGGTTTCAGTTGCAACCTGTCCTAGATTCAAATCCATTACATGCAACAGTCGACTCCAGACACATTCATAAATTTTTACATGCTGTTCATTCAAAACGGGAATTTTCTCAAATATAAATTAATATTACAATACAGTACTGTATACAGTATTAGCATATTGTGCATATATAGGCATAGATTAAGTTAGGTGTTTAGGTTCTGCTGGGGATTATTTGTATTTGTAGTACATGTGTGAAGCATTTATAGCTTTGTGGTTCGAAAAAAAATTCGTCAGTGAAGCACTTGTTCCAGAATCGTTCAAACGTCATCAGTTGTGAGTCGTGTGTAAACCGTTCATCATTCATAAACGGGGGGTTTGGCAGGTGCATGGAACCACTTTTGGGTCTTTGTGTGGAGGACGGGCTGTTCTGTTATCTGCTTTGGTGTTTCATTTCATGAACCATGCAGGTTCATGTGTTGTCTTACCTGCCTGCTGGGGGATTTCCTGTGTGTGTTCATAACAATCCTTGCTCTGTACCTCTGCAAGGACTGTGGGGGGAGGGGGGGGGTCAGGTTCTGACTCTAGGTTCCCAATAGGCCACCAGAATTCTGAGACTGGTGTATGTGTCAGTGGGTTCAGGGAACCACTGAGATTCGCCCAGAAAGGGGCATTTCAACATTTTTATTTTTATATTGTACCCACAAAATTTTTATTTAAAATTATTATTTAATTCTTTTTTATTTAATGTCCAGAAATTTACAATTACTGTTCTGTAATAAAAAGAATTCCTGTTGTTCTTATGAAATCATAAATTTCATCAATTACTAAGTAGTCAGTGATTATTTGTTGACATTTATTTACAGGTCCTTGTTCATGAATTGACTGAGAAGTGCTGGGACAAGTGTATGGATCGCCCATCAACACGTCTCGAGTCCCGCACAGAGAGCTGCATCACTAATTGCGTAGAACGTTTCATTGATGCAAATAATTTTGTTGCCAACCGCTTGCAGAAAGTTGCAACTACTTCAGGACTTATGTAATGCTTATACAGGATTTAAAGCACAGAATTAAGTTTATTTTGTGTTTATTTCCATATTCTTACACCCTTGTTTTTAAGTGTCAAATTTTCACAGGACAATGTTGCTCAGAGTGAGAGATTTTTTATACAGACACCGGAGGAAGTTTGTAATTGGAGGTGCAATAATAGGTGGGATTGCTCTCCTTAGTCGTTATGCAGAGCACAAACTTATTGCTTGGCATGATCAACACACACACACTTTGATGGAAAAACAAAAAAAACGGCAACATTATGAAAATACACATAGAACAGCAAATGCAACAGTTATGAGCTTGTCTGTTAGTATGAAAGAGATTATATCAAGGGAACTTGATGCAGATGCTCTCCTTCAAGCAGTAAGGGAACAACCACAACACAAACACAGTATTTGGCAGCAACTCAAGGTTGTGGGATTCAGCCGTGCGGTTTCCACTGTTTATGTTGCAAGTTTGGTAGCCACGGCGGTGCACGTACAACTCTTGCTACTTGGAGGATATACTTTTGGGGACCTCATACACTCTGGTCATGCAAACATACCAGTATCCCAGGCATTGCAGCAGAAATATCTTGCTGTTCTTCATTACCTTGTTGAAGAGGGCATTCCTAAACTGTTGCAGCATATAACTCGAGCTGTTACTCATATTGTTGCTGGATTGCCTCTTACTCGACCTCTTACTTTATGTCAGTTAGAAGCAATTTTTCAGGAAATTAAACTTGACCTAGCTGGAGAAAATGTATCATATGAACTTCATGATGGGAAAAGGCCTAAGCTAGAGCCATGGAGCAGATATGTTCTTCATACGCCTGTACCACCTGAAGGGGACTCAGGAGATGATATGGCACTCTACAATATGCTAATTGAAACAAATGATATCCTTGCCAGTGAAGATTTTAGTACTGTAATGGACACACTAGTTCAACACGGATTTAATCATTTGTTAGATAGAATGGCTGAATTTTACCCACTCCCTAAAAATCCACACGAGTTCAGTGGTAGTAATGAAAATTGGGTTGACAGTGTTAGAAGAGATATACCCCCTAGTGTTTCAGATAATGTGGTTGAGAGTTCTTCACTAGCCCAAGGGACTCCATCTTACAACTCCAGTTTCTCTCATAACAGCACTCTTCCTGTGGCCAAATTAGTACCACTTTTATCAGGAGTAGTGCATGCTGCTCTATCCCCTGCACCTGGCCAGCTCTTACAAAAGATTCTCACCGTTGACAAACTTGATTCATTGGGAGCAAATGTTTATGAAGCTTTTGCATTGCCTCTTAAGCAACAGATGTGAGATAATTATTGTTCTAAAGTTTAATGTTGGGATTAATATCATTGAATATTAAAGTTCAGAAGTGTTTTTGTCATGTTTTAATTTTAAATATAAAATGTACATTATAATAAAAAAAATGAAGTTTAAAATATATGTCCAACTTGTGTAATTTTACCACAAAATATTGTTTAGGGCCATCCTTTAGGGACTAAAATTACATAATATTCTGAAATAATGTAATTGTTGATATTTGTAGTGTAGAATCATATTAACAGGCTAATTGGTCAAAGAAAAATTACATTTATTAAAGATGTTAAGGAACAAAAAAATTTATATACACAGTAAGTCAGCAAATTAAATTAGACATTAATATTAATTTTTTGAAACTAAAAATTGGTTTAGTATGATTTGTTACTCTAAATTGAAATAGCTTATCCATTTGAAGTTATTCAACTGCAGCTACTGATATAATTTAAAGCAGTCATGTTACTAAATAAAAAAACAAAAGTGGTTATCTAATTCATTTAATGTATTGAATATAATATTTAACCTGTTTGTGGTTTATATTTAACCTTAATTTGGACTGTTACATAATGAATGTCCCTTCCCCAGGCCTCTGGAATACTTGCTGGAAGTTTGGCCAGAGTGCTGCACTTTGTCAGGATAGTGTTTTTTTTCCCCTTAGCACATGTTCATACAATGTCCTCAGCCCCCTCTTATGCAAATTTACCTCTAAATTATCATAGGCATTCTTACTAAGACCCCTATGATGTATTTTGATTAGTTTTCCACATTAGGTTCCTTTTATTCCATCCTCAGTTGTTCATACCACTCCTCCATGGTAATGGCGCATCCTCTGAAAATACCTTCTCCATTTGAAACATTTTAAACACTAGCACACTGCATTCAAGCCACAAGTCTCCAACCTGTTATTCTTATCTTTCAATTACAGAAGTAACACCAATTCCTCCCCCAAAGGGAAGAAGCCTACCGTTCAGAGCCCTCCATCATAAAGAGCCGTATAACAATTTGTTTCAATCTTATTTGCAATTATCTCTGCACCCTGAAACATTTAATTTTGCTTCTTCCCTATTGGAATTTTCACAACTCTCCCACACTGGTCCCTTGCAAGACCTTTCTCTGTTGAGCTTAACTTTGCAACTGGATCTAATTGTATAAATTAGGAGAACTCGTTACCCTCAGTTACTGAGTATGGAATGTTGCATATTGTACAGTATTTCTTTGAACTCTTGCTCCCTCCTCCCCAACAAGTACACACGTCTTTTCAGTCAATGCAATGTCCACAGTTTTTATGCAAATTTATCAGTGCCATTTTGTTAACTACAAAGTGTTAAAAAAATCAGCCCCTCATAGGAACCAATGCTAATTCTGGACTATTCAGACTTTTTTTTAGCATTTCTATTTTTTTTTTAACACTTGGCATTATCACCAAATTTTTTTTCAATTTAATCACCAAAATTCTCACCTTAATTTTAAGCTCATTTTAGATCTTTACCCGCATGTTTATTGCTTTTAGACGATTTTAATTGGTGACATTTTATGGGGCAATAACATTACCAATACCTGCGGCTGCCTTTTGGAAATGTAACATTCTACAGACACTACAAGCCTGTTAATTATTTATAAGCGAAAAAGTGACTATAAGCAATAAGTCATATATGTGCTGTCTTGTGCGAGAGCTGGTTGCAAGCCTCTCAGAAGCGTCAGAAATTGCGTCACTTTGAATGCAGTTTGTTAGCATCGGCTGAAACATGCATGTAACATAAGATGGCTGTCGACAAGTAAAAATTCATTGTCGGCAAAACATTTATCTTAAATGACCTCTTCTCTCCTTGGTAGTCAACACTTGGGATCTGCCCTTCGTAAGTAATTATCAAAAGGCGCCAAGTCGGGGAAACTATGTAGCACCATCAGATGTACAGGATATTCAAAGGGCGGGGATATTATAATAAAGGGATATTCAAAGATAGTGTCCTAAGAACCACATCAGACGGACATTGATTACACGATTAAAAATTTGCAGACAACTCGTTAGGCAATGGGGAGAAAGTCCTTCGAGAATGACCCTAGTGAACCGGTTTCCGAATTCGAAAAATAACCGCCTCATCTTCAGTCCCTGAGGACTGGCTTGACTCCAAGATACGGTTATAAATATTTAGTAAATACTGAAACATGTATGGAGGAAGACTGCGAAGCGTCTCATAATGAGTGTCATCTGAACCCGCTGCCGTAGAACCGCAGGGTCCGGGCAGACTGGAGTTCCGAAAAGAAATGGGATCGTTATTGGGAAGCTGGAGTTGTGTTCGAAAATTTAAGGGACAAGATTCAAAAGAGGTTTACCCTTTTTACCTTCCTTCCAGTAAGGAAGAAGTGCGTTAGATAAGAACTGAAGCTAACAGACAAAAAGTAGGAACCCAGTTCAGTCGCGACCGACACCGGATCCACCACAAGAAAACCATGGAGGTGGAGGACTGGCAAGGCATCTGGAACACACTTACCTGCTATCTTACTGATTTTCTTCCAGATCTGGGAGAGGAGTGTCAACTGTAATGGTGGAGACAAGATTTCCAACTCGCCTTCTAAAACAAAATAAGTCAGGCATCTGTGTTGGCGCTGCTTAAAGCGGACAGCCAGAGCACAGTCTGAATTCCACCACAGAACGTACTACCGTGTGCCCCAGGAGGTAGAGTAAGGAACAGAGCTGAGGGCAGCATTGAATACCGTCATGAAAAAGGAGGGGGACTCTAGGGAGAGGCAGATCAGAGAGATCGGAAAGAGTAACGTGTAACATGACTATTCCAGTCAGCCTTGGCAAACTCCCACTGAGGGAATATTTAAGGAGGATGGGAAAATGGTCACTTTTTTCATAGCGCTCGCACCGCTCCTATACCAGGTAAGTCCACTACGGGCTTACCATAGCCCATGCTACTTGGGAACTTGTTCCGAGTAGCTGAATCTATAATAACATGGTCACTTATGGTCATCAAAAACCCGCGATGCGAAATCTAAATGAAGAGACGAGCAGAGAGAAGGGAACTATCAAGGGAAAGTGCCAAGCCATTATGACTAAATAATAATAATAATAATAATAAAATAAATTTTTATTCAGGAAAAGTACATACATAGTTGATTTACAAATATAATGTTGGATTTATAGATAGAGCTAGTACATACAATACTTAAAACCACATAGCGTTTCGGGCAAGGTGTGGGGGGAAAAAACACTTAGACTAAAACCTAATAGTAATTGGGATTAGGTATAAATTGTGTTGAAAAAAGGAATAAAAAATAAAAAAGGGGAAACATGGCAGAAATCAGCAATTGTACAAGTTGGTGAACAAACAGCATTGTATAACAAAAGCAAGACATGGGTTGACATTTAGGGGGTAAGGTAGGTTACATGGAGTTAATTAAGTAGCACTTGGGTTTACTCAAACTGGTTGAGAGAGGTACAGCCTTTGACATGATTGGGGAGGTCATTCCACATTCTGGGTCCCTTGATTTGTAGAGCATTTCTAGTTTGGTAAAGTCGCACTCTTGGAATATCGAATAGGTATTTGTTTCTGGTGTGATGCCCACGAGTTCTGTTACAACCTTCTAGGATGCTTCTAAGGTCAGGATTGACAATGCAGTTCAGAGTTTTAAATATACAAGAGTACGCATGAGAGGATGCATGTGCAGTGACTTAATATCTAACATATTCAAAGATTTGAGTAAGGGTATCGAGTGCTGTCTGGGGCCAGAGTTAGATATTGTTCTAATAGCAGCTTTGTGTTGAATAATTAGAGGTGTAACGTACGATTATATTACGTTGTTGGGTTGATTAGATACAGTGTTTAGTGAGTTTCATATTTATTTAGTAGTCCTGGATACAGCAGTGTCGTAGACGTTGAGACGAAGCCTGGAGCAGAGCAGAGAGCCGAGTGAGGCCGGAGTCGTGGAGCTCTATGTGGGAGAGCGTGGCGGCTCGATTGAGAATTGTGAGTGTCTGAACTCGGGGAGCGAGAGCGTGGCGGCTCGATGCGGTCGTAGTCTGTCTGCTGTCTGCTCTGTGTCGAAGCTGTAGCGTCTTGGGTCGATTAGGACTCTACACGCCGAGTGCTACATTGTTGACTGTGGAAATTGAACTGTCTTCTATTCATCAAATCGTTGCTTATATGGTGATTACACCTCAGCTTCCTCCAACAAGGTGAGAAGAGTATTGCCTGTAATTGGGGAAAGGATTGTTGCTTCTGTAATTAGTTATCCTATTAAGATAATGAAGCGAGTATAAGATTAACTCGCTACAGAGGACGTAAATGATTTTGTGTAGTAGAACCCCCAAGCACAAATACCATAATTGAGATAAGGAGATGAGAGAGTAAGAGCGTCACCAAGGCAGGGCGAGGTACATATCTGATCTTAGAAAGAATGCCAACAGTTTTAGAAACTTTGATATATTTAGAATGTGTCCCCCTGGAAGCACTTGGAAGCTATATATAGCACTTGAGAGAGAACAAGTCAGGGAAGGGTGCGAGTGAGTCGACGTAAATTGGTTCACCAGGATTTAGAAGAGTACACTAGTACGCGTAGCGTTTCTGGCAAGTCCTTAATCCTACGGTCCGTGGAATACGACCCCCTGCCGCGAAGATCGGACAAATGCGTTTCAGTTAAGGAATTGCGGCGGCAGGATACGAACCCATGACATAGCGTCGCGGAACACCAGGCGATTCGGAGACTGCATTTAGAAGAGACAAAGGAGAGAGAGGACAAATGGTTCAAGGCGGCGGCCAAGGGTATTCGTCAGAACATCGCCCCAGAGGGCATGACGACAGTTAAAATCACCCAAAAGGAACACATGCTCCGGTAAGGAGACCAACAGGTGTTAAAGATCAGGGAGAGAGAAAGGAACATTTGAGGGGAGATAAATGGAACAGTGTACCACTTATTCACATAGATATGTGCAGCAGAGGAAAGAATGAGCGATTGGAAAAGAATGGGTAACAAAATGATTATCATTACGGATCAAGAGAGCAGTAGAGTTGAGGGCCCCAGCAAAATTTGGAGGGGAGGGGAGAAAGAAATAACCGCAGAAGCGACTAAGACTAGTGCCAAGCATCAGTTTCCTGGAGACAAACACAGAGCGGCAAAAATTGCGTTGGACTTCTTTAAGTTGGCATAGAAACCACGAATATTCCACTGAAGAATACACACTCAAAAACAGAGATAAACAGATAAAACCAAGACAGTATACCTGATAGGATCAGGGATGCCGGAACAATCGTGGACATCTTCAAGAGAAATCTAGATAATTTTCTCCAACGAGTGCCGGACCAACCGGGCTGTGGTGGATAAGTGGGCCTGCGGGCCGCTGCAAGCAACAGCCTGGTGGACCAAACTCTCAGAAGTCAAGCCTGGCCTCGGGCCGGGCTTGGGGAGTAGAATTCCCAGAACCCCATCAACCCGGGTCAGTGAAATCAGGATTATGGGGCAGAGGTAAATCTAGCAAATATGATTGAATCATGGGGGAGGTAGGATGGGCTCAACCCTACCGCGGAGGTGGGAGGGGGAGCAGAGAGCGGCCCCCCTGTAGTGAGGGCTATAGAGCCCATCCTTCCATCACAGTACGACTCTTTAGAAGGGGGGGGGGGTCTAGTCGTCCACCCTGAGTCTGAGAAGCTGAACGAGCGTCAGAAATCGGCATATAGCCAACATTAATATAATTTCATCCACAATTGAGCCTCATACCCAACATGGAGCCACAATTAGGGGATAGGACACCCGACAAGACCAAGATGCCCCTCCAAGGAGTGCATCGTACGTGGATATACACCCCGCAATCGTCACCTTAAGAACCGTTAGTCCAAGATCGGGCTCAGCAACGAAGGCAAGACCACGTCAGTACTACAGTTCTACGGGCGAAGAAGAAGAAAGTGCCTTCCCAATCACCCGGCGTCGAAACAATGGCACCAAGTAAGTAATTATCAAAAGAAGGCACCAAACCGGGAAGGCTATGTAGCACCTGGTCGACGACCGGGCCACGAGGACGCTAAGCCCCGGAAGCACCTCAAGGTAGGTAACCATCAAATGTGCGGAATAATCAGTGGGCGCTAAATATCACCAAGGATGCCAATACGAGAACAAAAACGCATAAGGCGAACGATATCAAAAGTATCCGAGTCACCAAGAATTCTATTGAGGGACAGGTGACCGCGGGGGACGGTCGGAAAGCAAGACACGCTCGTCCTGGAAGTCAGGACATTCACGACCGTAAGAGGGACAATGCAATTAGGACAATAAGGAATAACGGCACCAAGTCGGCTGGTAGGAATAATCAGAAAGAAGAGGTGGATATGAAAAATGAAACATGGGAGGGGAAAAAAAAAAACACTAAAATTTTAAAGACGAAGCATAAGACCTCAAAAGTTAGTTTAGTTTATTATGCACCCCATACCCATCTTGTGGGTGGTAGTGGAAAGTGTTACAGAGGCACATAATGTGCTCAGAGATTGATCCCCACAATTCATTTAGCTAAGCAAGTTACAATCTTGAGCTAGTTACAACATTCAATGCACGTACATCGTCACATCAACACTGTGCTCGAGACTGACCACAAGTAGAGTTTCGAATTCAAGCAACTAGCATATCAATGACACTAGCTCTCTTCATATGTTTGCCCTGCACACCGCCCTCCATCCAGTGGGCAGCGGTGGATAGGTTACAATCACTTAGTTACTACCTACAGTTAGTAAATTGGGGATACTTTATTAAGACTTCTGGCAGTAGATAATTTTTTAATGAAATTTACACATCTCTAACATATGTTATGGAGTTCTCTGAATTCAAGTATCTTTTCGCACTCCATCACAGTGACGGAGGGTGTGCGAATTTTGTTGACAGTTTACATTTGGTCAGGTCTACACCTGATAATGATAAGACCCAGATATACTTGTAACCGAGTCTAAGCCGAGCAGTAGTAAGATCTAGAATTCTGCCAATTGATCCATAGATGTGTGGCTCCTCTTGCATGATAGTATGATGAATGGAATTACCGATGTCTATTTCACTTTGCCTCAGATCTACAAGATTTTGTTGAAGTTCTCTGTGTACTATTGCTCTAGGACAAGAAATGCTGTCCCACAGAACATCACTCCTACAGTCGCCCACCAAGCTCCTTCACGACAACGGCCAGGAAAGGGAGGCATTAAGGGCTGTGGAGATTAAATCAAACAAGCTAATAATGACATTGGTATTTTTTTTTGGGGGGGGGGGTAGATCCGAAGCGAAACTGGCTAGTACTTAATATGTTGAATTATGAGGCAGGAGTAAAGCGGTTTGTAAATAATTTTTCAAACATTTTTTTAATATTGGCAGGTTTGGTGTGTACAGTTGTTTATGTCAGCATATTTAAGACATTTTAAACATCCTGCGGCACAGACTATACTAAAGTGTCTTTCAGGCTTGGTGTCTTTTGATAATTATTTTCTTCGAGACAATTATCTGAAACTTTAAGAAGTGGTCACATGCTCGTGCATGTGACGTCATGCCTTCACTAACGCCTCCTTCGAAAAGGGGACCGGGAATGCAGACGAGCCACCGCCTCAAATAATACTGTAGGACCCGACCCCAAAGAACATTTCGTCCCTCATCCTTCCACCAAGAAGTTTCCTTCGAGCCACAGCCACTGGGTTGGCTAGACTCGCAGATGAAGAATAACCGAATGTACGGGTCGACACGCACGACACACGGGTCCCAATTTTCCCCAGCTATTAGTTTGAAAGGAGCACCCTTACCAGACTCTGAAGGAACCCGCCATCGTGCAGAGCCTGCTGGGTTTCAACAAAACACCAGCCTCTCTTCCCCCATCACCGCTGCAACAAGGTACAACTGCCATGAGGCCATAAGCAAAAAAAAAATTCCATATTTATTCGTTATTATTTATGTCTGGAACAACGGTGAGCAGTGGCGCCTCCATAAAATATTGTAGGAATTTCAGAGATTCACCCCCTTATAATTTAACTAGCACGTATAATTTTTGTAATCTATGTCCAATCTACACTACACCCGATTAATAAGGACCAGAAACTGATTAACATTTATTAAAATTATGTGTAAATACAAATTTATAAAAGGTAGGATTACAAATAATTTATATGTGAAGTGTGGTGGCTTGTTGCCGTGGACAAGCGCTCGGCTTCAGTTGCAATCTCCTGGGCTGTTCCCAGGACCTCCATAATGGCCGTCATCACTATTGCGGCTATAGATGTTAGTCCTTCACTATCCTCCATTTCTCGGAACTTTGAGCCCATCCTTTCGATAATTAAGGTAATTTGTCTGAGGAATTCTTCCACGAGATGGACGAGTGGTCCTCCGTAATCGGCAACGTTACTCTTTTTACTTGCAACATTTAACGAATCATAGTTCAAATTTTCAACTTTGTCCACCATTTTCAAGATCTGTAAGCCAATATCCCTAAGTTGTAGAGGTAGTGGGAGCCTCCCGGGCTGGCCACCAGGCGCCACAGTGTCCTCGCCCTGCTGCTGCCAGTTGTTATAACTGGCTTTTCTTTTAGGTTTCTCGTCGTCCCTTTTGACAGTGTTATCAAACATTTTCATTAACGTAGTCAATAACTGGAAGTTTCCAGCATTGTTCAAATCCTCGTCACGCATAAACTTTGTTCGCATTTGTTCCACTGGAAGGACGTATCGTCTCCTACGATATTCTGGAGGAAGTAGTGTTGGTGCCTCTTTGTCATCCGATTGTCCTCGTATATTTTGCAAGTTATCCATACTCGAATTATTTTCATTAACCTTCAGTTGGGACCCATTATTGCTCTCATTGTGATTAGGTAAAAGTGCTTGTAGAAACACACTTCTCTGCATTTGGGAACTTTTACTAGAACCATTACTAGTTACATCCTCTTCAGCCCCATCGTGCGTGTTAACATCTTCAGCAACCATGTCAGCCGTCTGTCGCCGCTTCCGATAATTAGATTGTACAAATTCGTAGCCATACTGTGAATGGATTGTTTGTTGCTGGGTTTCGCTCTCGTATTTCGAACGAGTTGAAAACTCTTCTTTCCGCTCTACTGCAATTACATACGGCATTGTTGCTTCTTTGGGTCGTTGATGCATGCAATCTCGGTCATTACTCGCTTGCTCACTCGTTAGTTGTACCAGATCTTCGTCTTCAGCCTCCAGTGACTGGTCACTTGCACGTGGAGGATTATTTCCGAGTGGTACCACTGACAACAAGCGTCTGCCATGGTATACCATTGATGGTGGACCTGTATTATACTCAGACTCGTGCACATGTTTGTCTTCAGAACCTCCCATCAGTTCCTTAGACTTTATGGTGTGCACATCGTAGGTATTGTCACCGTCAGAGGATAAACTCTGACCTATATCCTCGGTATATTTATTCACAATCTCTTCACTCTGTGAATCTTCTTTCCATACTTGGTGAAATCCTGAATATGGATCCAAATTTTTATCATAATGCTCGTATCTTTCAACTTCTAACTTTTTTTGTTCTATAATCTCTTCCTCTCCAGAATAATCAGCACATTCACCCACCTCTGGGTGATAGCCGTCTAGCCCACAACTCCCATCCTCGTCTTTTACAAAGTGTTTAAAATTATTTTTATCATATAGTTCTCTCATGTTAAAAGCAATTTCAGATTTCTCCAAGACTCCATCCATATTACTAGAGCTCTGCCCCTTATTCTCTACCTCTGGATCATTGTATAAATCGCCACTCTTTACATCTTCACGAGTCTCTAGATTCCTTACATTTTGGGTATCTTCCCGCCGCGTACGGTAGACTGGTGCTGCTGCAGCTCTCCTCGTCTCTAGCGAGTCACTTTCCTCTTCCAATTTCATGGAGCCTTTCAACTCTAGCTTTTTCATGTTTTTTGCCATATTATCTAAGTGTTCTTCACTTGGCTGGTGTTCATCTAGTAAGACAACCCTGAGAGGAATTCCATTCTCGTCTCCAATAACATGACCCGTTTTATCCACTACAAACAATCCATTTACAGTTTGCTTAACTGACACTCCAGTAGAATTCTGCAGTTTAAACGTAATCTTTCCAACTGCCAGTTTCACGTCATTGCCGTTGTAATCCGTTAAGTTTACCACTCTGCCCATCTGGTCCACCAAAGTGATTGTGTTACCTTTTCCATCTACGATAACCATGTCCTCCAACACTTTTTGACTATTTCGAGACCTGAAGTTTATGTTTTTAACTTTAATTATTCCATTTTTGTCCGTAATCAGGTTGCCATCTTTGTCAATTATGGCATTTGCAGTTACTTTATCTGAAGCTACAATGGAGATGGAGGCATTCTTGCCGGTGCCAAGTGCCTCTCCAGGTACCGAGGAGAAGCTCATCACAAACATCACACCATCATGGTTCAATACTCTCAAGGCGTCAGTCCTCGTAATATTTTTGTTTTGTCCTTGCAACTTATCACCTATTGAACTGCTACGAGCAGAAACTTGCTCAGAACCATTCCATGTTTTGTTATAAAGTTTCTCGGCATGCATAGTCAAGTTTGGAATTACCGAATGCTTTACTGTACCCACGAACGACCATTCTGTGGCAGATACAATGCCAGCCACCACTTTAATCCCTTCATCGTTAAAAACTAGAGTGGGACCGCCACCAGCCTGCACCAGTGTTAAAGTATTGTCAATGGAATCTACCACCAAATCACCATTTTCGTCCTCTATAATGTAAATTTGATCCTTTTCAGATAACTGCACATTTGTTTGAGTCTTGTGTAAAGTTGAGGAACTAGTTACATTAGCACCAGGAGCGAGCAAGTGTGGTGACGGGGGCGAGGCGGCCACAGTGACCACGTCTCCTGCCCTCACCGCCACGGGGTCGCCTCTACTGTTCACCACAACACTGACTGGCTCCTCGTCACGCGTCAGTATCACTGGTATCGCTGCACCTGACCCACTATTTCTAGCGCCATTTGGATTATACCGAACAGTATTCCTACGGTGTCTGGGTGCAACAGCAGTTTTGCATACCCTAGCCATGAGGCAGGCATCATCACAGCACTTATCAGACACGGCGCAGTCAGAGTCCGTGCTGCACAGCTGAAAATATGGGTAATTTTAGAAACATTGTGAAATATTATGCTGCATAGTCTGTTACCGGAACAAATCCTAAAACCAAGTTGGACATTCGACACACCTTAGTATTATCGTAACCTGAAGAATTTGTAGTCCTTATAAATGTAGTGCATTTTAAACGGCCAAATTTCACACCCCTACTCTCCCCCGCCATCCCAAGCTACATCCAACGTTGTTACTGCGACCCGTAGAGGGGGTAGCAATCGACCATGATAAAGAAAGAAGATTCGCCTCCTGAACAATCAAAACATTCATCAAGAAAGAACTTCTAAAAGCCAACAACACGATCAACACTAATCCCATCGACATCCGCCAGGAGGGAGAGGGAATCGTGCTCTTCTACTCCCAAGAAGCTGTAGCTGACCACTTGCTCTCTACCCCAATCCAGAAACTCCTATTTAGCCAGAACATCGAACTCTTCTTGCCGCGTCTGATGGATGGAGTCTGGGGGCAGCGTTGTGATCGGGCAGGACCAGGATGAGCCTCTGAGCGGGTACGACAAGCGTCAGAGCTTCAGTGGTTTCATCGCTGACCTCTACCTCACTCAGTCTCTCCTCACTCTTGACCAGATGAATGATTATGTTCACTGTAGAACAGACGCGTTGTTGACTCATCAACATTTGATGGATTTTGTAAATATTCGAGAAGATTTTATGTTTGGGGTGGAAGCAAGCGTCGTGAGCAGGGTGAACCCTTGCCGCCCCAACAGCAACAAGTTCTTCTCCATCTTCCCGGAAGCACGAAGCATGAAAGAATGTAGCCATTTCTGCTCTATACTTAACGGCAACGTTCCTATCCCACTGAATGATGAAGAAAATATAGCTTTATTCAACGAAGAGTCTGATTTTTGCAGACAAATGCACGGCGTTTGATAAAAGCAACAGTATGTGGATTGGTATACAATGGGCCCCTAATGAATCTTTGTGGAAAAACCAAATTACTAATAGAGAAGCTGTTTACAAAAATTTTAAAATTGAAATTTTACCCTCTTTATTACGCACTAAAGCACTATGGCTGAAAGAACTATTTGCCAGTTGTATCACTGCCTGGATACCTGACTGGAAACTAATAGAAGTCAGAAACTGTATCCAAGTTGGAAACCTCAACTCTCAGGTATTCGAAATTACGAGCTTGACCAACGCCAACGGCGAACGCACCACTGCCGTTAGTGAATCACTATCACTAACGGCAGCAAATCTCGCCATCACAGCTGGGTTCAAATGTTTTGGCATCTTTACCCCACCTGTACAAGTGACAAACGGTACTACACCCTAGGACAGTGCTTAAAATGCTACAAATACACACACTTCAAGTGCCAGAAGATGCATGGTGTAGCATCTGCGCCGAGGATCACTACTACTCTGCCAAGGCAGACTTTCAACGCTGCCTCGTCTGCAACGTCACAGCTGCCCGTGCAGACAGGAAGCCATCAAGCAATTGACGGACTCTAGTAAAACTTGAGCTGCCACGAACGATTCCACCAACACTGCACGCAGCAGCCAGTCAGAAATTTTCCCCGCCTTACCGAGCAGCAGCCTCTCCTGCAACCATCCCCAGCCGGCTCACTGGGGGACCACAGGCCAACCAACATCCCAGCCTCAACCATCACCAACGGGCTCTACCATCTCTACAACCGATGGTATCATCCCCGCCCTCATGTGCCTTGTTGAATGGGTCGCCGGGTCCGACAACCACTTGTTCGGGAGCATACGCAACACCCTATATGCAGCGAACGGCTTAACCGGGTTAATCGTTCCTGACGCAGTGCTGGCTGCCCAGATTAAGACACCTACAACGGCGCGCTCCCGCACCATCCAGCGATCTTGTAGTGCACTAGGTAGTGTCCTCCATGCCAGCGGCCAGTTCACCACCTACCATCAACACCCTATCCGATGGGCTAGACTAACGGTCAGCCCTCGTCGGCTAAACCACCAATGCTCCCGCTGCAATGGCAACACCCGCTCCGCAGCCATAGGCCCATACCTGCACCTTCAACGCACACAACGCAGAATTAACCTAATTGACTCTTTAGACGATGTCTCAGTAGAAGTATCATCATCTCCCCACCATCTTAAGTCATGTCCTAGGGAGGACACTGACCCCGTCCATCCACAAATCTACATTATCAGCTATTGGTACTGGCTCCTAATTGCCTCTACTTACGGGTTATTCATGCTCATGCCACCTCTTTAGTGGCTTAATCTGTATCAATGAATCTACAGCCAAATATATTTCTAGTTGTTTTTATTAAACAAATAGAGTCTTTAGGTACAGGAAAATCAGAAGCAATTTAAAATCACTTATTTCCCTAATGTTCAATTCTCACAAGCTGGCAACAATCTAAGAGCCTTCAAGCCTAATATAGACAATTGTATATTTAACGTCATACGCGAGAAAATGAACTAGGGATAACTTTAAAATAAACTAGTATAAAATGTACTTACTGCCAGATGGGCCGATGTTTGTACTCTAGGACAATAATTACGTGCAGGAGGACACTGCCCGCGCTCTTGGCTCCACGTATCTAGTCATGAACAAGAATATGCATCATAACATTTAGTAATGCCTAGTATGGGGGGTAGAAATAGCCTAAGCTACTCTATTCCTTTGAGATGTATTTCTTGCTTATCTCAATAAACATACTTGAACTTGAAATGCCTAATATCTGGTATGACTTCATTTGTGTTCAGAATACTTGAGGTATTGGAGATATGACTAGTTACCTTCCGTGGTGATTGGAGTTACGGGGGCCGTGGTAGTGGCAACCGTAGTGGCGGAGAAGGCTCCAACTATTGTGCTGGCGACGGGTGGCCCCAAGCCGACGGGTGGCCCCAAGCCGAGTGGATGCAGGTTGAACAGCAGCGGTGAAGTAGTGACTGTTCCCACAGCATCTACACTACTTTCCACGTCAATAAATATTGGAGTGTAAGTATTTACAGGGAAATTAGGGACGTGGGAGGCATCAGCAGAGGTAGTAGGCGAGAAGTCACTTAGGTGCACACTGTCTAAAATAACTTGGGCAGCTCGGCAGCAATAATGTTGAGTATTACCATACTGTTGTGACTGGCAGTAGTGAAGACACGAGTACCTGCAGGAAAAACACTAAGACATTGGCGCTCTGCTCAACTTCAGAGCAAAGCTAACTAGAGAGCTTGTAAATCATTACATATAAATTCTAGTAAAGTTAACATTGTATTATGCATCTAATAGAGAGAAAGCCATAATCTTAAAACATGCAAACCTGTATTTCATTAATATTAACTTTACATATTAAAATACAACTGGTAATGTGCAATTAAGTTTCTTGCAAATCACGACGCATTAATGTACAATACAGCAAATTATCGTAAAACTGATTTGGTTACGTGGCGACCGTCACTCGAGTTAAAATCAAAAGAAAGCAAAGTCCGGAAGATAGCACAATATTACACAATATCTAGACATGCAGGATGCCCCATACATTAGCAGTATGACAAGACTAGTGTCAAAGGTATTAGAATCAAGGATTTTATCAATCCGCATACGACTAAGGAATATTGGGAAAGCAACGTACAATCTATCCAGAAAACTCAAATTCAGGAAGTGCAGGGCTACTTCAGGAGATGCCCAGATCATTGTGGCGCCAGTACATATCTTACCCAGACGCTATCAAGTTTTTTTTTTTGCGCCGAGACGAGACCACAGGTATTGGTAAAACTTTATAGTACGCAATTTATTTGTAATAGCAAACCTCTCCGAATGGTTGCAGGTAGGGGTTATGAATAAATTGATAAAGGAATTAGTTTCTGGGAGATGGGACACGCACGAATGACAACGATAGCAACTGCGAGGTCATTAGAGGTAACACCAGTGTGGAGAGGAATCTAACAACATTTTACGAATATTTGTTAAAAATGGTTAAGTTACTGTTGGATTTCTATCAGTACAGGAAATAAAGGGTAAAAGAACTCCAAGCCATGAGAGTCCAGAGAGAGAGAGAGACTAACGTTGGCATAAATCCTAGTAGTATTCTAAACTGCATAAAAGTTGCTCCATGAAAATACTCTTCAAAGGGGAAGCGGCATAAAGGCATCAGGAGACTAATCCGTGCGTAAATAGCAGTAATTGGGAACACATTGCAGATGTACACGGCCTGCAAGCAGACAACACGTACAGTAAAATATTTATAAACAAACAGGACTTTACAAGCAGCCGTCAAAGTGGCATTACAACTTACGGGCTATTCATGCCCATACCACCTTTTGGGTGGCTTAATCTTCATCAATCATCGCATTACAAGCGTGAATAGGAGCTCTGTACGGTCTGTGCAAGTTTTCGAAGGCAACACTCAACATAGATCAACCCGTCCTCACACTAAGTCCATTCCATACAGCGGTCGGCCCCAAAGACATCAATTTTAACATGCTGTTCATTCAAAATAGGTATTCTCAAATATAAATTAACATGGTTATATATATTAGTATGCTGTGCATATTTAGGCATTGGTTAGGTTAGATGTTTAGGTTCTGTTTGCGATTATTTGTAGTACGTGGGGTGGAGGATTTACATTGTTGTGGTTCGAACAAAATTAAGTCGCCAACTAAGCACTTATTAGAAGTGTTTGAACATCAGCTGTGAGTCTTGTTTGGAGGACGGGCCCATCCTCATAAACAAAGGCCAAAAGTGATTGTGCACCCGCTAAACCCCCTGTTTATGAATGAAAAACTGTTTACACACGACTCGACCGATTTCTTTCGAACACTTCCGGAACAAGTGCTTCACTGAAGAATTTTGTTCGAACCACAACGCTATAAATGCTTCACCCACGTACTACAAATACAAATAATCGCCAACAGAACCTAAACACCCAACCTAACCTATCCTATGCCTATATATACACAATATGCTATTATAATATTAATTTATACTTTAGAAATTTCCCGTTTTGAATGAACAGCATGTTAAAATTTATGAATGCGTCTGTGGGGTTGACCGCTGAATGTAATGGACTTTAGTCAAGGACGGGTTGTATAAATGCTTCACCCACGTAATACAAATAAACGCCAACAGAACCTAAGCACCTAACCTATGCCTATATATGCACAATAAGCTAGTATAATTTATATTTGAGAAAATTCCAGTTTTGAATGAACAGCATGTAAAAGTTTATGAATGCGTCTGTGGGGTCGACCGCTGGATGTAATGGACTTTAGTCAAGGACGGGTTGTTCACCGACTAATTGTTCGAACCACAACGTTGTAAATATTTTCTTGTCTCAAACGTATTTGAATTTGAGCCCACGTACTACAAATAATCGCCAACTTAATGCCTAAATATGCTTATATAATACTATTTTCATTTGAAAAAATTCCTGTTTTGAAAGATCAGCATGCTAAAATTTACAAATGCGTCTTTGGGGTCGACTGTTGGACGGAATGGATTTGGTCTGAGGACGGGTTGTGTGTAAATCTTTTTTTTCTTAAACGGGGTTTGGCGGGTGCATGGAATCGCTTTTGGCCTTTGTTTACAAGGACGGGTTGCGTAGGTGGTTTTAGACAAGCTCTGGAATGGGAAAGAAACATCCCTTCCCCCCCCCCCCCCCCGAGCCGACCTTCCCCGAATGCAACCTGTAACTACTACATCGCCAAACTCCCTGGTACCTATTTACCGTCAGGTAAACATACAACAGGAAACTTGGCCCAAACGTTTCTGTCCTGCCGCAGGAATTTAACCACGAACGTTTGTTGTGATCCGATTGCGCCACAGGTGTTAAGAATTGCGCCAGAGGGCATGTCACCAGTTACAAATCACTTTTGTAGTAATGGCTGTTACAAACGGCTTTTTAAAGTGGCTAACCTATATTATGAGCACTCATCATCCGAGACCTGCATGATGATTTATATTCGTTATATACCGAGCATCCAATACCTAGTGACACGTATAATGTTTAATATTATCCGTGTAGTGTACATGCAGCGGGCCACAGTCCCAAGCCACAACAGCGTGCAGTGTCACCCACTTGTACGGCGAGAGGTCGGCCGCTGCAGCAGCCCACACCGCCACCGCCCACACAAACACCATCGCCGCCATCTGTACCAAGACAATTAAAACCTGGCTTGTAATAGACTCAAAAGCTTTAAAATCTGCACAAATTTTCTCACAAACTGTTCTCACCTTGTACTACTGTCAGACCCAGACTCAATGCCCTCAAGAAGGCCTTTAAAAGATGAATATTATGATTGTACAGTATATTTCGATGGGTATCCTAAATAATTTTCAAAAAATTTTCCCATCAGCCACTGGCTTACCATATACTGGTTTACACCGTCACCACTAACTCACTCTGTCACCAGACTCGCCACTGGCTCACTAACAGCCGCTTGTTTTCCTCACAAAACGATCAAGGCCCAAGAGGAAAGACAAGAAACCTGTCCATGAATAACTGAGACGTGTACTTGGGACAAACATTGCCAGATACCATCACACCAGCGCCATCTGTTAACAGTTTATTATATTATATTTTGTTCAACTATTATATTTTATCAAATATTTGTTTATTATGAATTGATACAGCGTTCCGTTACATTACATATAATATATATTTTTTAATTTGATTCAAAACTAACTAAATGAAGTCCTAGTGAATACTCAACTAGTTTTCGAATTTCATATTTCACGTTTGAGAATAATACACCATATTAACATAACCATGCATAACCTAACTTAACCTATCCTAACCATGGCTAGGGGAGTAAACAATAGCATTAATTACATAGTAGTTTTGTACTAATCACCTCCAGGGCACCTCCTCCCTAAGGACAGGTTGCCCCCATGCGTTCTGGTATAGGTTGAGGGTTTAAATCCCCTCATTGCTCCAATTTATTATCGCATTTATATATCACGTTAGTGTATATATATCAACACTCCTTCTGTACCTAAAGTTGGAGTGTATGGCGGAAGAGATCCATTACAATAACAAACTTCAGTACCAGACACCACTCTGCTGCCTTACTGAGATCTTTAAACATGTTTAACATCACATCACTGCACATACTCCCAAGTGTATTCTGTATCTTTAAAACTATGAACATCAATGCCAATCCTGACATAATAAACTGAGGATATATATGTTTGCTAGAGCTGTAGTAGAACTCATGAGCACCACACGAGGAACACATCCTTTTGAGATTCCTGGAGTGAGACTAAACCAAAGCAGAAATGCGGTGTATCAAGGGTCTCAAATTATGAAATGATCTCACAAATGTAATTAAAAGCTGCAAGTCTCCCAGCCAGCTCAAAAGAGAGACTAAGAAATGTTTATTTAATATTATGTAACGAATTTCACTCACATTTCTTCATTGAAAAAAGTTGTTTGTGTCTTACTGGTACTGTATCATAAATTTTATTGATTAAAAATGTATGTTTTTCTTCATTGAGTGTTACCTTGTGATGATTTCCGGGCTTAACGTCCCCGCGGCCCGGTTCTCGACCAGGCCTCCTGTATGTCATCTAATCTATTTTTTTATTTTGATCGTCTGATCTATTTTTGTTAAATTGCTTAATCAGTCATATATATGTTATCTTGTTTACTTTAAGTGTTTACCCCATTAAACTTTTCAATTTTGCTAATTTACTATACATGTTATGTTCTGGTAGTTTTCTAAAACACAGCTATATTATATATATATCTCCTTCTATTATTAATGTTATAAAACCCGCGTAGTGTTGCCTGGTCACAACTATGGATTCCATAATGTAATAGTCTTCGTCTGTCAAATTTAAATTTTGCTCTGCCCATTATTTTTGTTTGTATATATTGCATATCCTTATCCAACTGCATTATAACTATAATATATTAGTGAATTATAATTTTAATTTGATTCTTAATTTGACAAACTATCTGTATCCTAGTAGATTAATTATTTAAATCTCAATTTATCTCTGTTTTAAAACAATCAAATTTCACTTTGTTCTGCTCCTTATTTTTTAATTATATTTAACTATTTTTACTTAGATAAGTAATAAATTGAGGATATATATGTTTGCTTAATAATGTTAGCTATTTCTTTCTAATATTACATATTATTAATTTTACATTTTAAGTACATTGTATCTAACTCATATTTGTATAGTTCTGTGAGTCAGTACATTAGACAACCGACTATTAGAAAGGCGGGGTCCAAGAGCTTACAACTCGATCCTCCAGGCACAAATAGTAAATACAAGTAGTAAACACACACACACACACACACACACACACACACACACACACACACACAGTACACACGTGTATATATATATATATATATATATATATATATATATATATATATATATGTCGTACCTAGTAGCCAGAACTCACTTCTCAGCCTACTATTCAAGGCCCGATTTGCCTAATAAGCCAAGTTTTCCTGAATTAATATATTTACTATAATTTTTTTCTTATGAAATGATAAAGCAACCCTTTTCTCTATGTATGAGGTCAATTTTTTTTTATTGGAGTTAAAATTAACGTAGATATATGACCGAACCTAACCAGCCGTACCTAACCTAACCTAACCTATATTTATAGGTAAGGTTAGGTTAGGTAGCCAAAAAAAGCTAGGTTAGGTTAGGTTAGGTAGGTTAGGTAGACGAAAAAACATTAATTCATGAAAACTTGGCTTATTAGGCAAATCGGGCCTTGAATAGTAGGCTGAGAAGTGCGTTCTGGCTATTAGGTACGACATATATATATATATATATATATATATATATATATATATATATATATATATATATATATATATATATATATATATATATATATATATATATATATATATATATATATATATTTATCGCTATATGCGAAGGAATGAACTTATTAAATCATCTGTTGTGTTTTGTAAATTTTATTTCTTTGGGATAAGTTTGGAGCCGGTTAACTTTGAAACTCATCATGGATCATCCTGGTGTGGTAGCCGACGAAGCCGAAGTAGCCAATGACGAAGACGCCCATCAGTACGGGCAGGACGACCTGAGCGCCGGAATTCCATGAGCGCGGGTCCACCAGCTGCCGCCGCCTCTGCTTGCCCTGTCAACCATCAAGAACATTCAGTCTTTCACAGAGACTACCACTTTTCTCGGGGTTAATCAGAAGGGAATGAATTATTGGAGAGATTACTCATCCTTCTGATTGCATTAATCAGAGAAGGGAAACAAATAAGTAAATAAATTATATGTATATATATACTGTCACATAATTCTCCTGCATAACAGAAGAAACTGCCTCTTCACTTTTACCTTCGACATTGGATGGTTATGAAACATTCTACTACACTTCCTCCGGACCAACATATAAAACGTCCTAGATGGAGGTCCAGACGAATGTTTACACCACACCACCAGGGTGCCCAACCCGGGGGGTTAAGTAATAATTGTAATTAAGAAGCAATAAGATGCTTATCTTAACATACTAAGAAGGTTAGGTGAGGTCGGTGTTTTCTATGAAGCTTTTCAAGGTAAACTAAAATATTCACAATCAATTAGTATGTCATATATGCACATATTAAATAAGCTAATATTGACTATAAGCAAGTGCGAGAACGGGCTGCACCTCCCGTAAGACCCAGCTAGGCAGGCGTGTGGCTGCAAAGCTCGCGGGTTCCTTGTTGCGTCTAGGTAACCAACTCTGTTTCACTGCCGGTTACTCGTTCCAAGCCTCGGTGACAAAGGATGTGAAGTCACCGTCAGGGGTATAAAGACCCCTGACCTCGGCAACATTTTCAGTCTGAGACTGCGGAGGTGAACGCCCATTCATGGATATGCTCACAAGTTATTAGTGCCGGGTTCGATTCCCAGATAGGACGATACATTTTGGGCACGTTTAATTCCTTACACTTTATGCCTCTGTTCGCCGAGAAGTAGGAACACAGGAGTCGGTCAACTGTTTTGGGTTGCATCCTGAGAAAGGTCAGTCATTATCCTAGGGAGACCTCGATAAGCTTAAGATTTCCCAGGCCCCGACAATGGGACAGCAACTGCAACAGCATCTGTACGCGTGTATTGTGCATATGTTAGTGTCAACATGGTTGTTATTGTGGGTACCTTGTATTGCCTCTTGATCACACTACGTCCCGGAGACATGGGTGCTACTACGGTAGGTGATGGGGCCTGCATGAAGGCGTTGATGGTCACTTGCACTGACACCATAATAAAGTCTGCCAAGATGCAGAAGATGAACCACACGTCTATCAGCTTCAAGTAGGAAGTCTTGGGCAGGCCGGAGGCGATCTGTAACAGTACACCTCCATGACGGATTCAGTTATCGTCATACCTTACCAAAATAGTCATTGAACAAAACTTACATGTTTGATATAATATGTAGAATACTGTATGACTTCTCTCATTCCTGGAGTATATTCACCAATATATTTTAAGAGGACTCGGATACCATTTAATATTTGGCATTAGATTATAATGTACATCCTGTCAATTTATTGTAGAGAATAATAAGTGATCACTTGTTTATTTTGATAGGGCTTTCTTTTTGAGTTATAAATAACAAATGCACATCTACCATGATCAAAATTGGTTCGTATTGCCCTTCCGGTTTTGAAGTTACGAATAAGTTGTAGTATCTGACCTAGAACAGTTTGCCCTTATGTTTACTATACATATATTATTTCCTTGATCTAGAGAAAGATGAGGTGGCGTGACCTTGGAGAATATGAGATAACCAAATTTGGGGCAAAATGTGGATGCCTCACCTGGGAGAAGAGCGAAGCGAGGACGAGGAGGGAGGTGAGGGAGACCATGACTCTGTTGGTGAAGTCGTCGAGGGAGAAATAGAAGGCGAGGTAGGAGATGATGACGAGAAGGGTGGTGGGGACGTAGGCGCCGCTGATGTAGTACCAGTACAGGTTAGCCAGCTGGATCCTGATGTGCTGGCCGCTCTTGTTCTGGAAGAGAATGGGTTGGTGCGTGAGGCCCGTCACCTGTGCCTCACGCACCGCCAGGTCAACTATGGGATATGGCAAAGCACCACCTCGTTAACTATCAGGCATGACAAGGCCCCGCCAGGTCAACCATGGGGTATGACAAAGTACCACCGCGTTAACTATCAGGCATGACAAGGCCCCGCCAGGTCAACCATGGGGTATGACAAAGTACCACCGCGTTAACTATCAGGCATGACAAGGCCCCGCCAGGTCAACCATGGGGGTATGACAAAGCACCACCGCGTTAACTATCAGGCATGACAAGGCCCCGCCAGGTCAACCATGGGGTATGACAAAGCACCACCGCGTTAACTATCAGGCGTGACAAGACACCGCCACGTCAACCATCAAGCATGACAAACCATCGCCAGAGTAAAGGGGAAAACTAACCCGGTACTCGAGGAGACGTCTGGCGCCAAGGAAGGTGATGCCGTCGAGCGTTGTGACGACGTACTGGTGGGTGTACACGCCGACGTAGATGACCAAGGGGCAGCGCTGCATGTCGAAGGGGTAGAGCGTAAGGTCGAAGGTACACATAAGTGTCACAGTGAACTCCCGGTCCAGAACCAGCGGGTTCTCAGTCCCTGAGTACAACACATCTGCAAGACCCAATTGTAATGAATATATTCACCATTGTAAACAAAATTGCAGGTATTTATACTCCCAATTGCATTCTTTGTATAAACATGCGTAATGTCTATATGTTTTTAAACCTCTTGGGAGTCTGCACAACCTTGTACGAACACGGCAGCGTATTCTCCCAGCCACTGAAGGTAAGGCGTCAATATGTCTTTGTACTGACCATGGTTCAACTCCCAGGCGGCATGGAACCATGTCACATAAGAAATATGCTGTTAACTCGTTACATTTTCAGTAAGCAGTAAGCATAGAGACATATGACAGACACTAACCTTCATCGATGAGGCGGTCGTCGTCGGGCAAGGGGCGAGAGGTTCGCTGACCCCAAGCAGCTGTCCGGAGCCGCTCAGTTGTTGCTTGGCTGAAGTCGGAACCCAGCATGGTCACCTCTGGGAACCATACAAGGTTTATATCGTCAATTTGGTTTAGGTTGTTGTCCGAGTGGAGGTTTTTATAGTGAAGACGCGAGTCATACCAAGTTTTCCTGATGACGATGTCCATAACGAGTTGTGAGTTGATCAGGTCGAGCTTGCGGACTAAAAGTATTTTGCAGTCGATGGAAACCGAGGCAGGAGTATAGCTGTTGACCTTAGGAGGTGGAAGTCTTTTCTCGTAGCCAGGAGGGACGATGAGAGTTTCACAGTTGAGCTCGTCACTGTGGTCGTCACAGTCCAGTTCTAAGTTGCACCGCTGGTTCAGGTCTATACATTTGCCGTCTCCGCATGTAAACATGTTCTGCCTGCAGGAAGTGAGTTTTAATGTATGCATCTGATTCTCACAATTATCGCCAGAAATTTCAAATTTGTGTACACCCACAGGATACAATAGCTCCGAGGTGGTCATCATCCTTGCCTGGATGTGTGGATTATTTATCTGGTACAGCAACCAGTATGTGACAGATTGGTTAACGCTCCAGATAATTTTTGACGAGCTGTACCCATTGAAGATCGGCCGATAGTTAAAGGTATCATATATATAATATTCTCGGTCAAACAATGATGCGGCACACAGGCCTCTAAGCTTCAGTGGAACGGGGTTTTCGAATTGACAAGCGGTGCATAACTTTCTTTCACACTCTTCCATATTCCAGTTATACTTATGGGTGGCTTCCGGCGTGGCATTAAGAGTACTCGCGGTAACACACACAACTTTTCCCGAAGAGGGTAAAATTTCAATTTTAAAATTTTTGTAAACAGCTTCTCTATTGGTAATTTGGTTTTTCCACAAAGATTCATTAGGGGCCCATTGTATACCAATCCACATACTGTTGCTTTTATCAAACGCCGTGCATTTGTCTGCAAAATCAGACCCTTCGTTGAATAAAGCTATATTTTCTTCATCATTCAGTGGGATAGGAACGTTGCCGTTAAGTATAGAGCAGAAATGGCTACATTCTTTCATGCTTCGTGCTTCCGGGAAGATGGAGAAGAACTTGTTGCTGTTGGGGCGGCAAGGGTTCACCCTGCTCACGACGCTTGCTTCCACCCCAAACATAAAATCTTCTCGAATATTTACAAAATCCATTAAATGTTGATGAGTCAATAACGCGTCTGTTCTACAGTGTACATAATCATTCATCTGATCAAGAGTGAGGAGACTCTGAGTGAGGTAGAGGTCAGCGATGAAGCCACTGAAGCTCTGACGCTTGTCGTACCCGCTCAGAGGCTCATCCTGGTCCTGCCCGATCACAACGCTGCCCCCAGACTCCATCATGATCGACTTGTTTACCTGGAACTGCGATTACGGAAATAAAATATTTAATATAGAAACCATCTACATATCTATCATTAATACAATTTAATTTAAGCGCATATAGACAATTTCATCACTAACGTTTGTGATGTGTCCATAAAAAATAACTGTTGGATCACAGGGAGATACCTACCGAGTCAACCAGCATGAAGTGTTCGACTGAGTCCTGGTGGAGAAAGGTGGCGCGGTGAGCCGACAGGTCGACAGCAATGCAGAAGGAGAACCACCTTAGGAGCCCCACGTCGACCCGCAAGGCCTTGAATATCCGCTTGGAGCAGCACGCAAACTGCAGCTCCTTGGTGTCATACTTCAGGTCTAAGAGAATACAGATGGTCGGTCATAAGGTCCACTTTATCATGTAGCTTACTTTGACTACATAATAGCCATCAAGAACCCATACCATCTTTAAAAACTATAGTACCAATGTAACTATAGATGGAATGTACATGTTATGGACTGTTGCACACCAAAAATGTCAATGTTTTGTACTATTGGTGTACTTAAGGGCATGGGAAAAACTGCTACAATCTTGCCATCAGCCTAACCTAACTTAGGCCTAGGAAATATTTATTTATTTATTTATTTTTATACAAGAAGGTACATTGGGTTTATGAACGTACATAGCATTGTGTTTACATTCTTGTAAAGCCACTAGTATGCGCAGGATTTCGGGCAGGTCCTTAATTTAAGTAGGTAAATTCTAGCAAAATTTATAAAATGTTAATAGGTGTTGTTACATTCTTTACCGGACTCTGTACAAAATAGAGAACACAAAATGTGGGTGAAACAGTTCATATTTTGTACATTCAATCTGTAGTCGCTATATATTTTATCTCTTGGATGACAGGTTGATACTGAAGCATAATATATATATGTCTATCGTGGCATCTGTCGTCACTACGCCATGCATAATATGTAACCATTTTCTGCATATTTTCGTGACATTAAAAGTGAACAAGAAAATGACATACTTAGAGCGAGTTCGTTGTCGTTGTGTTTGACGGCGTACGAGAAGAAGTAGTCAGAGTAGCGGGTGCGGAAGGGGTAGAGCCTCACACAGAAGGTGAAGGCGGGGAGGGTAGGCAGCGTGTGACGCCAGGTGAGCCACGAGTCGCGCCGGGCCACGCCGTCCTCCTGCAGTCCTGCTACTGACGACGCTGCTCACAATAATAAGATCAAATTTAAATCTAAATACAGAATTCTTTGCCTTAGGAGCAGCAAAACAAATAGGTGAGAGGTAAAGTAATTATAAGGGGAAAGCGCAAAGCCAGTCTGAATATATAGAACAGAACAGATTAAACTCACTGTTTTTTTTTAAACTAAACGTGAGTTTAATCTGTTTGTAAACACGTAAACACGTAGTCAGCTTTATGACTACATGTCGTGGTAATACACTGGCATCGGGTTTAAAATCTGTAGCTGAATTTAATAGCTTCTGTTCATCAATTGACGTAAGCCTAGCTGGAAATATTCCCGAGGCCCAGACTCATGTTGACCAAACCACACACTAGAAATTGAAGAGACTATCGACTTGATAATGGTCCAGAACGGACCGAAACGTCGTCATCTCTTCAAATTCTAGTGTGTGGTTTGGTCAACATATTTCAGCCACGTTATTGTGACTTATCATCTGCACCCAGACTCATGTTACTACATATTTCACGGTAGCTATCCTAACCCCCTGCTACTCTTGCCTATCATCTCCACACACATTACCTCCACAATTCCCTCGTCAAAAACCAAAGCTGGGAACATTAGTGCAATATCAATAATGTTAAACAAAAGTGCTGCTCATGTCCATGTACCAACTATAGCTGTACTTGTCAACAGATCAAATCAAATGTTTATTCAGGTAAAATACATACATACAAGGTGAGATACAAACATTGATGGATTTATAGATAGAGCTAGTACATACAAAGCCTAAAGCCACTATTACGCAAAGTCTCAAACGTTTTCCTGATACTAAAAAGTAAGAGTAACTGAAGTTCATATATGGGGTGATACAGCTGACATAAACAATTACAAACTAATATCAAACCTGCCAATATTAAAACCAATATTTTAAAAGATTATGTACAAACAGCTTTACTACTACTTTGTGAAATACAAAATATTAAGTTCCAGCAAGTTAGGCTTCAGAACCCCCCAAAAGAGTACCAATGATGCCATTATTAGTTTACTTGAAGTAATCTACACATCCCTTGAAAAAATGAGTTCCCAATTGGCCTCTTCATTGACCTGAGAAAGGCTTTTGACACCATAACTTACAATAACCTCCTACTTAAACGTCATCATTATGGAATTAGAGGCCTTATTCTGAACCATATCCGATCATATCTCGACAAGACACCAACACGTAGTCATAATAACATACCCTCTCCCACTCTACCATTAACCATACGGTACCACAAGGCTGCATCTTAGAATGTCATATCTATCTAGAGATTCTAAGATGTCTAAGATAGAGGCCTAAGAGATCAGGGGTCTGCTACGTTTGGTGAAAGGTAACAGATGAGAGAGAAACGCAGCCCACCTTGTAGAGTGTGGGCTCCGGCCAGCAGGGTGATGAAGGCACTCAACAGGGACAGGTGATGTCGCCTCTCAAACATCTTTGAGCAGCGACGCTTCTTCCGGAACAGGTGATGCTGCGTCTTCCAGGATATCTTCTGGTATTGACGCTGCGTCTCCCATGATATCTTGGAGCAGGAGCGTCTCTCCTGAGAGATGTGATACTGTCTCTCCCACACTATACTGGAATAGCGACGCCTCTCCTGGAACAGGTGATGTCGCGTCTCCCATGACATCTTAGGACAGTGACGCTGCATCTCCCAAGTCATAGTAGGGCAGCGCCGCCTCTCGTGACAAGGGAACATTATAGCACTAATCAGTTAAAATAATACTCTACTATTTTTAAAACACGAGGACATGTAGAGTGAATACTTCTATCCCAATCCGAGATCCTCTTGAGCAGTGAGCGAGAATAAGATTGACGATGATTAAGCCACCCAAGAGGAGATTCGAACCGTGGACCCCACGTGTGTGTGGCCGAAGCTCTATCGACCGAGCTATTGGGTAGTCTTATTAAGAAAAGTTTCCTTATTAGATGAACAAATCCACAAGGGCCGTGACGAGGATAAGGCAGCGTCTGGGATGCTCTCGGACGTAGGTTCGAATCCTCGTCACGGCCCTTGTTGATTTGTTCATTTGATGCATCACACTATTGTGATTTCTGTGTGTTCCTTATTAGAGTTTCGGCCTTACACACGTGGAGTTCACGGTTCGAGTCTCCTAAAGCCCAGGTGAATGGAATGTTTACTTCCACGGAAGTGTGGGTGACAATTTCATACCTGTGTATTTGGATTGAAGGCTACGTCCTTCATGGGGACGTATATATATACCACGTTCGACTGCTGTAAAGGGTTCTCCGTCGGCTTCGGCCTGTTCTTAATGAGGAGGTCAGTAGTCATCTTTGTTTTATAGTATATGATTAAGTCTATGTTTTGGTTTGGCGTTGTGCTTTTTATTCCTTTTCAGATTATTTATTTAATTATATTTTCTTTTTTTATGTTCACTATGCAATAGTGAACATAAAAAAGAATAATGCCTGCATCTGGGAGAGTGAAGTGATGAGCTTGCAGCAGTGTGGTGTTGGTGCTCCACTTTATATTGACTAAGGTGAGGGATTCAGCGAAACTATTATACACGGGACTAATATAGTCAGGTCCAAGAAGTGCAGCTATATTGGTATAATTATTTATGTGACTCTAGCTTTAAAGTGTGTCTGTGTGTTCACCTAAATGTTCCTGCAGTAACGAGTGGTAGCTCCTGGGTCCTGCCTTATCAGCAGTGGGTTGTCTATGGCAGTGACTCTCGATCCTCAATGTCTCTCGTCTAGCTTACAAACTGTATATCTTTTATCGCTATCTAGTCCGGTACATTTGTTTACTAGCAGTTCGCTATCGTAGGTCTCACTAACGTCACTGTGCTTCGTCAGTGGCTCAGGTGTCCTGCCATGTCCCAGTTGTGTTATCTTATGTTATACTTTGCATGTCATGTTAAGTTGTATAAATTCTTCTGAAAATCGTACATGTCTCTATCATGTCTCCTATATTGTATATCTCGCAAGTCTTGTGAGGGCCACCAGCTAGCTCCCTCAGTCACAATCTCAAATTTAATTCTATCATAGAATGGCGTGTGTAATTTCCTAAGTGTAATTACCTAAGTGTAGTTACAGGATGAGAGCTATGCCCGTGGTGTCTCGTCTTCCTAGAACTCTTTGTCGTATAACGCTTTGAAACTACTGACGGTTTTGGCCTCCACCACCTTCTCACTTCTCCTAAGAAGTGAGAAAATTAATTAGATAATTAATGAGAAAATTAACACACACACACACACTTACACTCTCAGTGTGTGTGTGTGTGTGTGTGTGTGTTTTCTCACCTATTTGTGTCTGCAGAATCGATCATTGACTCTTGGATCCCGCCTTTCGAGCCATAGGTTGTTTACAACAATAACTCTGGTCCTATTTCCCTATCATATCTAGTTTCAAAATTATGAATAGAGTTTGTTTCCACAACCTGCTCCTGCAGTGCATTCCATTTTTCCACTACTCTCACGCTAAAACAAAAACTTCCTAACATCTCTGTGACTCATCTGAGTTTCCAGCTTCCACCCATGTCCCCTCGTCCTGTTACTATTCCTCGTGAACATTTTGTCTATTTCCACTCTGTCAATCCCCCTGAGTATTGTATATGTTTATATCATATCCCACCCTCTCTCTTCCTTTTTCTAGTGTCGTAAGGTTCAATTCCTTCAGGCGCTCTTCATACCCATCCCTCATAACTCTGGGACAAGCATCGTCGCAAACTTCTGAACCTTTTCCAGTTTCCTTATGTGTTTCTTCAGGTGGGGACTCCATGATGGGGCTGCATACGTCTGTGTGCGTACTTACCTATTTGTGCCTGCAGGATCGAGCATTGGCTCTTGGATCCCGCCTTTCTAGCCGCCGGTTGTTTGAAGCAATAACTTCTGTCCTATTTCCCTATCATATATAGTTTAATATTAGGAATAGAGTTTGCTTCCACAATCTGCTCTTTAGTTCATTCCATTTTCCCACTACTCTCAGGTAAAAGAAAACTTTTTAGCATCTCTATGACTCTGAATAATATTCTAACCTTTACTAGCGTAGAGTACGCTGCTGTCATCATCATATTTATATGTTCTTCAGCAGTTAGATTTGGTGTTACGTCCACTCCCAGGTCTCTTTCCCGAATTGTCACAGGTAAGAAGTTTTCTTTCTTTGTATACTGTCCCTTTGCTCTCCTGTCACCTAGTCCCATTTCCATAACTTTACACTTCCTCGTGTTGAACTCCAGTAGCCATTTTTCTGACCATCTCTGCAACTTGTTCAAGTACTCTTGCAGGGTCCTTCAATTTTCATGTCACAACTCTTCTCATCAACTTTGCGTCATCCGCGAACATCGACATGTATGACTCTACTCCTGTAAATATGTCATTTATGTATATTAGAAATATGTGTGTGTGTGTGTGTGTGTGTGTGTGTGTGTGTGTGTGTGTGTGTGTGTGTGTGTGTGTGTAGATGGGTGTGGAATCTAAGTATGACTGGAATGTCGTGTCAGAAGACAGTTATGAAGTGTTCACTTCTTACCAAATATTTAGAGGTAGCCTCTCCTTCCAGGCATCAATGTTAGACGATTTCCCAGAGACACATATTATTAACAGTACGATGAAGGTCAAGGGAAGATCCACTATATGTGTAAGTGTATTATGAATCAAATTGAAGGTTATATCCAAAGTTTTTGTAATACACCTACGTGAATTAAAACAAGCCAGGCCCTGGACCGAGCTTGGGGAGTAGAAAACCTCCCTGTACCACCTCCGGGTACAAAAGTTTCTAATACACTTACACATATATATTGGGTCTTTCTTTCACCTTCCTTCAATTACAACGACATTGTAAGAAGTTACTACGGGCTCACCATAGCCCGTGCTGCTTGGAACTTTTTGTTCCAAGTAGCGAATCTTAAACAACAACAAAAGAAGTTTCTCCAACATTACGATGTCTTGACTCGGTCTATTATTCAGTCTGGTCGTTTGTATTTGATCATTTTGGTGAAGACTTTTGATTATAGTTCATTAAACTGTACAGTCAAAGTGGTTCTCTCTTTTTGAATGAGATTGATGGAGGAGTCAGAGTTGTAATGATTCTGGTGCATGTATGGTAGTGTGGTGCAGGGCAAGTGTTGGGGTGTGGTGCAGGGCAACTGTTGGGGTGTGGTGCAGGGCAACTGTTGGGGTGTGGTGTGGTGCAGGGCAAGTGTTGTGGTGTAGTGCAGGGCAAGTGTTGTGGTGTGGTGAAGGGCAACTGTTGGGGTGTGGTGCAGGGCAAGTGTTGGGGTGTAAAACAGCTAGTGCCCATCTCCACTAGGAAGTGTGGTACACTCACAGCTTCAATACACCACTTACAAAAGCGGCGATGGAGGACAGTCATATGTTTACCTAAAAACACACGTGGTTTGTTGTTGGGAATTATAGAGGTTTTATATTAATAATTTACTTTGGTATTTAGTTTCCCTTTATCAGTTAGCTTAGCACAACTGTGCAAGTTATGTTCCTGTGCGTCCACGCTGTACAGCCAGCCTGTTGCCGCCAGCGTTCCCAACGTCAAGAAATTGTCGTCTAAAATGCCTTATCTTAACCTACTAGAGGACCCACGAACAGAAAACGGGACATTATGTCACTTTCACGAGCCGCTGCCATTTTTTAATACGACAGTTTTGGCCTTAGGTGAAGTATACGTCAAAATACGTTGTGTTATTAGGAGGACGGGTTGCAGTTGATTGTTCACTTGTGAGGGTAATTATTCTAAACTGGTCTGTACAGTTATGGTCGTGACTTTCTTTATATAGAATTCTTGGTAAAATAGATAGATATTTATGATATAGTAGTTAAATATTTATGATATAGTAATTAAAGCCAGGATTAGTAAGTCCGCTGGTGGGAAGGAGCATTGTCGTGGAATACTGGGTCTCGTAGTTCAGTTGGCTTCGTTCTCGACTCATACTCAGAGACCTTAGATTCCGGCGGAACACGAATGGTTGGGCGCGTATCCTTTCACCTAATGCCTCTATTCACCTAGCAGTGTTAAGTAGATGCCCGGGGATTGTTTCTTGCATTATTCTGTCCTCTTTCTCGTTTTCACTTTAGATGGTGGATTTGTAGTGTAATGTTTAGTGTTGGTGTTGTGGTTTCTATTATTGGTTCAGGATTGTACCACCGGTCCAAGTGTCGTCCTATAGTGGTGAGTTGAGCTGGTGGTTACTGTAGTCATGGTTCATCTAGAGAGAGTCAGGACTCCATTTCACCCACGAGAGTAGTAACAATAACAGTCTGCCTTTCCTGTATGTGTTAATAACAAAAACAGAAGCATCTCTAAGCACCAGCGTATATACTAAGCCTACAAACATAGGGTTATGCCTAAACGGTAAGAGTGAGTGTCCCCAAAGATATAAAGCCAGTGTTCTCAACGTTTATATTCGTCGAGCCCTTACCCACTGCTCTGATTGGAGCAACGTGAGTAAAGAGTTTGAAAGGATAACACAAGTACTGGTGAACAATGGCTATAGTAACCACGAGATCAACACCAGTATAGGACGACACTTGGACCGGTGGCACAATCCTGAACCAAGAATAGAAACCACAACACCAACACTAAATTATACTACAAAGCCACCATCCACAGTGAATACAAGTAAGAGGAAAGAATAATTAAATAAGTAATTCGTAAAGTAGTAAAAATCTCCACACCTAATCAAAACTTAGACATCATCATATTCTATAACACAAAGACGACCATTTACCTCATTAAAAACAGCCCGAAGCCGACAGAGAACCTTTCACAGCAGTCAAACGTGGTATATATGTACACCTGCCCCCACGAAGGATGTAGCCTTCAATCTAAGTACACAGGTATGACGTCGACCAAACTGACGAGGCGTTTGACCTGTCATCTTCAATCAGGTGCCATAAAAATCACACGCGAAAAGCCCATGACATCACCTTAACAGAGAAATGCTGAATGCATATTGCATATTAAATAAAACCCAAGATGTAACCAGATTACAAATTCTTGAAGCTCTACACATAAAAGTAGGACAACTCCCCCATAAACACACAAATAACAGAAC